ATTTATCCTTCTATCTTAGAATTTCAGCGATGTTTACCCTTCTATCTTAGAATATCAGCCATTTTTGCCCTTTATATTAGATTTTGCTATCTTAGAATCCTTCTATCTTAGAGTCATTTCCCCGGCCCCGACCAGGTCTAAGATCCAAGGTTTAACAGTAGTATCAATATAAATATCCTGGATTAATTTTACATAATTGAATTAATAAAACATTAATGTAAATTATTAATAATGAGAGAAATAAACATGTATATTCTGTTTAAAATAATTTAAAAACTATCCAGATCAATTTTAAACAGTCCCTTTACTAACCCAAACTTTATAAAGTTAGCTAGATTAATAATTTCGAATATTCCAGATAAATCATACTGTGTAGACATCTATAACCAAGCGTAAAAAACAAAACTTTCAAATACAATGAGATCATTGTATTGAATGATTGGTTTGCAATGACACCATTCAATTGCCTATTGGCTGAGAGGCTATCATAGAGTCACGTGACTGTATGTATGACCGCATTGTGACGTATAATATGTGTAAAACAGATACCATTTTGTCTCAAACGGAGCCTTCAATGCATACAAACAATAACTAAAACCCTGTGTTTTGTGCCATAAAGTGATCACTTGTTAGCGTTATTATCAATTAAATTGTGATTATAGTTATCATACGATTAACGCAACAAAGTTTGAATAACTTTTAATAAAAGTCCGCAAACTTTACCCCCGATTAACCCGGAATTTAATTAACGATTAGTTTACTTAATACGAGTTTAAACGCTAATACTTTACCACGTTTTGGCAAACATACATCGATGTAAAATACAGATACAATTGCATTGAGAGACACAACGAGTTTTAAATGACAATTAATTTACTGATTATTAAGTAAACAAAAGTTTTAAAACTTTTAATTAAGAGATGAGTGAAAGTACGGGTGAAGTAATCTTCGACAACAGTTTACTCATTATAACTGACAGTAAATATATTGCGAGTAATGATAACTGTATGACAGCCACCGATGACCCGAAGGACAGGTCTGTGGCCGACGCGAAGGTGGAGGACATGGAGGCCGGCGCTGAAGAGGAGGACAAGTTTGAGTGCGAGTGTAGGTTAGGTCCCAATGAGAGCGCCTGTTATACACAGTTCGCCAGACAGACAATGATTGACCACAGAATCGATTACCAGAGTTGCGATTATTGGGACGACGACTGCTATAACCTATTGAACGAACGCATCATTGCTATCATGTATGACATCATCGAGAGTTACATGTCTTAAGACATCACTTAACTAATGTCTACACTTATTGATAATCGGTATTTCTCTGTCAAAATACAGGTCTATACTAATCAACAGTTCCGCAGAGTTGCAGACGTCTGGCGGCCATAAGAAGCAGAAGAAACGGCTGAAGACTTCTGTGAAGTTCCAGTGGAGGGGACGGCCGGTGTGTAAAGCGCTGTTCCTCTTCGTTCACGCCGTCTCTAAGCCGAAGTGGA